GTAAAGAAGAAAACAGAGTTTGAGGCTGAAATCAGATCTTTGATAAAAAGGAAGGCAGTGAATGATGGTATTCTCAAACAACTCTACAAGGAGGCTTATCACGTTGGTGCTATTTTCCACTTAACTGAACATAAAACAGATGAATTGGAAACTAAAATAGCAGAAGTGAGAAGAAAATTCAAGGTTGTGTATCTTTGTGTTCTTCTTAGTTGTGAAGAAAAAAAAGAGTAATTCTCCTGAATTTTATTGATTTAATATTGATAGCTAGATCTTAAGTTAAGGATTAATGGTCTTTTCAAAAAATCACTTCTGATAAATTGGAAGAAAACCACCTCTCTCCAAAGGCCCAGCTTGACTAGAAGAGGATGAGGGCTCAATGTAGTTAATCAACACTTGTTTCTACTTTTTGCTATGGTTTCTATCATCCACTATAAACTACCTGGAGCACCAGGAGTGTGATGCTCAGTTCAGCTTTATCCTATATGTCCAACACATACTAATTCCTTTCTGTGGTAGAAAGAGGGGAATCTGAGATGTGCTCTTGTACCTTATGTAGCATAAGAATAGGGAGTACCTATATCAGGCCTACAAGTTGTTGGATTCCAGAGTGCCAGGCAACTTGTAGACCACATTGTTGCAGAAATAACTGCTCATATACCTCAAATCCATTCCTAAGTGAGAGAGGTGATGAATAGCAGCTCCCTGCCATTTGTTATAGGGACTTGGAAAGTGGGTCCCATTTTACTGAATGGAGAAAGTGTTCACCATGGCCTTTCCCTACCCCATGGGAGCTGAGAGATCACTCAAAAGCAGCAATAGAAATTGCTCCACTTAGGAACCATTCCCACTTGCTAATCATTCCTGATCATCTCTGAGCCTGAATATATATGGCATTAAATTTCTATAATGTAAACATGCAGATCTGTGTCAGAGTGGTGCTGAATTTAAAATTTATTTCTGGATTGTCTTTAGATAATTCAAATTTATAATAATTCAAGTTTGTAGTTTCTACCTGTGTAATGACCCTATTGTCTTTCATTGGCTGATTCATGAACATCTATTTAATATCCTAAGTTTGGGCATCATATTCTCCTTGCAGGAAACTTTCTGTATTTGTTGATCCTGCCTGAAATTAGTCCTAATCTATGTCATCTAGAAATTAATTACAGCAATATCACTTCCAGGGTAGCTCTGAGAAATAACCTTTTGAAGCCCTAGAAGCAGAGTTTATGAATTATGTTCTCTCAAGTTAATGCATCAATAAAATGCTGGATAAATTTTAGCCATTCTAAGAATAGAAGCAGTCCTTAACAGTAAGGATGTCTACAAATTTCTGAAATTTTCCAGTTATTAGAGATGATGAGTTCCCATTTTTCTTTACTTTCAATTTCATAACTGACCTATTCATGAAAGAGATGTTTGGCCAAGTTTCAGGATAAAATCAGCCAACTGGGATAGGAAATAAGTCAATAAAAAGTAAGATGTATTCAATTATGGTGTGGATAGAATGAACAGAAATCCCACCCAGAATTGTCTAAAGAATGTAACATTGCAATAAAAAATTTTGAAAGCTTTCAGCAGATGTTAAGTACTTATCAGCACTCCAGTGGAAGGCTTCTGTGTAAGCTGCATAGTCTTGTAGGATGTTTTGCTTCAATGTAATGGAATTCTGATGGAAAAGTGAGAACAGGCCCTGCATACTGGTGGGTAACCCCTCTGCTAGCCTGGGGACATATTAGCTGCTTGGTGGCTCAGGGACTTATCCTGCTCAGGAGAGGACACACAGTGGTTTGGGTGGCTCAAAGGCAGATTCCACGTTAGAATCAAAGTGCTAGAACTAAGTGGAAACTTGTAAAAAGGAAGGAATGAAGTAGAAAGAGTTTTATGCAAGCCCATTTTATGTTGGACTCTTTACACATATTAATTACTTAATGTTTGCAGTATCGTGCAATTGTTATTAACAATTCATTTTGGGTTATCACAAAATAGTGATTTTCCCAAAATAGTATAGCTTTTTAGACAACTGTGTAGAGTTTAAAGACCAGAATATCTAATGCTGGACTTGGTATAGTCGGTAAGATGTTAGATTTATACTCTGACCAATTAAGATTCAGTCAAACTCAAAACTTCAAAATTACCATTCTAGGGGGTCATTTTTCATGTTAGGAAAAGACAATGTATTATGTCCCTAGAAGGTTTCAGTTCACTATAATTTAGAGGTCTATGGATTCCCCTGAGTACTTTTACAAATATTTTAACCAATCTCAAACTGTTTTTAGAGAAAACTCTTGGCTCTCCCTTCAAATACTATTTGTTCACCTCTGAGACAAGCTTTATAGGCCCTTCCTTTGGGTAAAATCAAAGTCCTAAACCTTCTAAAAATCCTTCTTGGAGGCCGTCATAATCTCTTCTAGTAAAGGCCTGTTTAGAGCATCTCTAGTTCAATCAACAGAAATTCCAGATAATATTGATAATATTTAAAAATGGTCATAATATGGACATTCTAAAGAAATCATTAATTTTTATTCTAAAGGATTTATGCCTTATAGCTGCTCACATCTGGAGCATGTTACTCTTGCCCCATGTACAATAGCCTTTATTGAATTATGAATTGATGTTATATCCTTGGCTTTTAATAAAGGTTGGTAAAAAGTAATGGCCAAAATTCACCATTGCCACTTGGTTTTTCAAACTAATATGAGAGCTAGTCATATTGTCAATGTGGTCAAAGAAACCTATGAAATTAATTTACCTCAGATTTTAGAACTAAGAAAAAGTTAATTTTTATTGATAAAATTGTAATTTCCTTTTTATCAGTAATTAGGAATTTGCTAAACTTTTTTGTTTCCTTCTGATTTAAGCAGCCAGAAGCTCAGACTTACTTGTGCTATGCATTTTTAGCACAATCACTCTTCTTTTTATTTCTCTATGTTCCATAATTATAACTTTGATCTTGTATCTTTTTGCTTTTGTTTCATTGGTTTTTAATTTAATAAGATTCTTTTCTACTCCATTCAGAAGCAGCATACTTTGCCAAAACTGAGCAGACAGGAAGGTATTACCTGTAATATGGGGAACATCTATCTATATTAGTGGGAAATGGTTGCTGGGGAAAAGAAGGCAAATACAAGAAAAGCAGAAATAGTGTGAAGGTATGATAGGATTTAAGTCTTTCAAATGGCTGCTGGGTAACCCCTTGATCAAGCACCAGAGAAGTTCATTTTCATGACATGTATTTGAGGGAGTAAATAAACCCCCAAAATATGATAGAAACAAAGCATTGAATCTTCATGAATCTTGAGGGTACAAAATGTTTGAGGACATAAAACTTTATTTGACCTGCTGTAAATATCACATGGGAACATAATTTCCTTCTCATTCTCCTGGCGTTGAGCTTTGCTTGCCAAAAAATAGGTGGTAAATTGACTCTTTAGTATTTCCATTTAATTCTCTGAACCCTTTTTCTACTTTTCTTCTCCCTTTTCCAAGGGAAATGTGGTTCAGTTGAAAGAGCATGGACTTTAGAGTCAGATATTTCTTTAATTTGAATCCTGGTTCTGCTAATTATTTGCTCTGAGAATATTGAGAATATACTTAACTTTTATTAGCCTAGGTTTCTCATGTCCCAAATGAATATAACAATACCTAAACAGTACCTCTGGATAATAAGTAGATAATATTATATATAAAACATTTAACTTAGAGCCTGACTGATAATATATTCTCAAAAGTATTAGAGATGAACATTGTAAAAAATACTCCATAGCATGGGGCTACCTTTGCTGTTCGGGATTTTTAAAAAAATCTTTAACAGCTGACGTAAACATTCGAATCTTAAATCTGTCTCCTGATAAATATGATGAATGTGTAGATCCTAAACAACATTTTGAAAGTAATGATAGTTATTTGTTGAGTGCTTAACATGAGTGATGCCTTGAGTAAATTACTTTGTATTATCTTCCTTCTCACAATTACTTTATGGAAAAGAATTTTACATATGTGAAAACTAATATTTGATAATGGTATATTGATATAGCAACTCATATGAGCTGAAGTGTCCAACTCAGTGTAAATCAGAACTTTTCTAGAAAGTAATTCATCACTGTATATAAAGAACCTAACATTCATAATCTGTAATTCACTAACATTATTTGTAAAAGTGTGACTTTACATCTTTAAGCGGGGAGGGGCAAGATGGCAGATGACAAAAAACTGCCAGCCAGAGTGTCTCTGCAAGAAAGATAGATTTTAGAAGAAAGTGAAAAAAAAAATTAACCAGCAGACAAACATAGATCGGATGAGGGTCAGAAGGAAGGGTGCCTGAAACTACAGGAGACTCCCCAGGAAGAAGTTGCAGAGGAGAACTAGAAAGAGAAAGGCCCCTGAAGGGCTTGTAGAAGAGCAAAAAGGGTAGGTGGAGTGGTTAAATTTCCCCTTCCTTGCATCTCGGACTGCTGGTGGCCTCCTGGATAGTTGGAGAGACCTGCTAACACCAGCCCAGAGACGGCTGCCACCAGGGAGAGTGAGCGGTGAGCCTCTTGTGGACAGGGCACCAGACTCCCAGCTCCCTCAGAGCACTTCATGCTCCACAGACCCTAGCAGATCAGCAGGCATTATATTGCCTCATTCTCCCCTTTCCCTGCTCTATCTGAGGCTGCCACCGAGAGAGACAATTTAGCCACCACCCAGAGGCATCTGCAGGGAATGGGACCTTTCCTTTTGTGGCCTTACAGCGGCAGACTGAGGGGTACTCAGACTGTACTCTAAACTCTCTACCCGCCAGCCCTCCCAGGTGCTGCTTACCAGGGCAAATCCTGAGGCAGAGAGACATGGATCCAGTCTGGGCACCCCGTGGATGACTTGAGACCAGCACTCTTCTCCCTGGCAGGGTCAGAAATTGATCTCCGGGGATTCCGTACACCCAGGTCTCTATTGCATTGCCCAGGGACACAGAAGGGATATTTGTGAATTGGAGCCTACTCAGCTGTGTGTGCCTTAGGGGGCAGATCATCATGCTTGAGGGGAAACCCTCCTCTCGCGGGAGGGCCATGCTCCCAGCTCAGGCTGTGATCTTAGGCAGGGAATCTCCCAGCATGACAGCCAGGGGAGATCCACTGGTTTCAGGTCCCACCTACTGGCAGAGGCCCGGGAGAAACCATGGAATAGGGGAGGGTGGAAAGGAG